ATCATCCAATAAATAACAACAAAACTTGGAAGACCCTTATGAACCCTCAGAACCTTCCTTCTTTCACCAAAAATTGCCGAAACTCAAACCACTTGTCAAAAAATCAATAAATAATCCGACCACACTAGAATTAAGCCTCACAAAATAAAATATAATTCGACGAAACAAATCTTTTCTTCAAATACTTCTCTCTCGAACAGTCAACTATTTTCAAAACTTTCTTTCAAACTTTTTCTCAATCCTTTCAATTTTTTTCAGACTTTGTATAATTTAATTATCCAATATCCTTGAAATATCCATCCTCCTCTTGATAATTTTTTGCATTTTTTCCATCATTTTTTCACCACTAGCCCAAACCTACGTTAATTTTTCCAAAACACTTGACCTCCTCTTCAGGTACGATATTTCAAATAACTATCTAAATGTTCCAGCATCTATTCAGTAGAACAGATGTTTTTCTTCTTTTTATAATATTTCTCACATTTCTGACGTCCGTGACAATGACAGTATGCAAATTTATTAAAAAAGGCTATCATAACCTTCGCATTAGCAACGATACTTTTCATCTTCATCCTTTTCGTTGAGAAATATTACAGTAAACATAAAATTTCTTCATAAATAAATAATCTTTCCAAAAATTTTCCAGAATTGCTAATCAACAACCCCCACACCAGTCCCCACCAACAAGATCCCAAGAACCTCCAACAACATCAACAAATAGTCAAAAAAAAACCCCCAATCATCAACACGCATCTCTTTTCAAGACAATCCATATACATTTGAAGAAAGACACTCACGATTGTCCGAACCACTAGAACCAGTAATTCGCCAAGCATCGCTGGGCGAACCACAATACGAACCAGTGTATAATATATACACCCCTCTACAGCAAGATCTTAATAGAGCAAGACAACAAAGTCAAAATCAAAATACGCTCGAAATAAACAGACAAATTATACATCCAAGACGAAATAGAAATTTCCAAACCCCCAGAGTTCAATTCAACATAACTCATTCACCAACAACAAATCCTGTAGACCTTTCCAGTAGTACGCTTCAAACAACTCCCCAGACCCCATCACAACCAAACACATCAAACATCCCATTAGATTATTTAGGTTCAACCCCTATATCTGAACAAATCAGAGAAAATCCTTTTTTGTCCCAGCCACTACAGAACATTTCCCGTTTTGAATGACACAAGTTTTTACTCGAGGTGAATCAATTTTAGTAAAAAATCCAATAGACGTTTCATCTGACACAACTTTGTCACTACCCGAAATTCTTTCACTCCCCTCAACCCCTTCTTTACCTCAATTTTCACAAAAAACCATTTCCCCAAAAATTTCCTACACATCTCGACGCTAGATATAGAGAAACTTCAACCAACAACATACATCTACGATTAGATTGGAAGACATTTGTAGCACCCCTTCGACTATTTGGACAACATCACGAATGTAACAGATTACACAACTGGGCACTAAATAGATTACAATATCGACAAGATATCCAGAAAGATATACAAGAACATAACATACAAATTTTTACACAGGATAACTTGACACCAAAATTTGAAATCACAGTAAGACTAAATAATATAATTCACTCTCCTTTATCCCTAGCCTCCCTCAAAAATAACAGCTCATTCTCCCAAATATAACAGCTAAATTTTTACCTCCCCCATTTTTAACCACAGATATCAACTACAATTACGATAAATACACGAAAAAGACAATTGGATATATAACTTTTTATAATCCTTAGTCAAGACTATCATACACAAGTATCTTCTAAAAAAAATAATTTTCCAGACCCTCCTTTGTCTTAATTTCTCAAAACTGGACCATAATAACCCTTCCCCCCGAACTGGACCCCAGGATTTACTATTCACACACTATGACTGTGAAAAAAGTGAACAAAAATCATTTCAAAAATATGCAATAAACCAGGTCACTCTATGCGAATCCGAACCACAATCAATCGAGACAACAAACATAATAGCTACAATTCACTCAAAAGCACGAGCTACAACACTAACAGGATATAAATTCACAGCGACATTCTCCGAAAAGAAGGTACATTGTTCCCAAGTCTCAAACGGAAATAAAAACAGACTAGATTATGAATCTTTTTAACAAAGTAATATCGGAAGACTATTACATCTCAGCCTTGTGGAATATGAACAAGGTTTCGACATGAATACAGGTAAATTAATCATACATCCGTATGCAACACATTACTCAACCGGTGACAAAAATTCATACATCCCAGTAAACCTCCTAAAAACACAGGAAACATTGGTGGAAAAATAAAACCACAAGACAAAGACAGTACACGTTTACAAGAACTATCGCTAATGAACAACACTCATTTTGGCGCAAATCACTATGACATTCACCTAGACATGAAATTAGACTAAACAACAAGTAGAATTTTTCAAGAAATGTCTTTAACAGAACTTGAAACACTACATCAATTATGCTAACTCGAAAGAACACAAGTTCTACAATCACTTGCATTAGCAGTACTCAAGATCCCTTATGCAGGATATTTATTATCCGGTAAGAGATCAATTTTTTTTTACTACGAAGTAAACATACTATGGTATTACAATTGTACCAAAAAAGTATCACCTTTATATGTTTTTGAATACGAAAGATGCTTTAAAAGAATCCCTATATTCTACAAAAATAAAGTAAATTTTGTTGATACACTCTCTCGAAGGACTTATTTTTGGGATACAGCAGTCCCATATGGATCAGAAACAATCCAACCCTGACGAAGACAAATACTACCTTCTCACACCATATCCTACACTCATGCAATCATTAAAAACGTTTTCACCAAAAAGCATTAGAGCTATTGCTCTTAATCCAAACATCAATTTACAATCGATCGGCATATACTCTAAATCCGACGTTCAACCCCACATACGTACACAACAGTTTCAAGAATTGCTCACAAAAATGGAAACTATACAACGTCAATCTATATATAAAAACCTACTCAAACTTGCAGAAACAGCAGGCTTTTCAGACATCTACGCATAAGACTACAGCGGATATTCTAAAGATATAAAAGATTACATTTACTTAAATGGCGAAAAATACAGACCACAAGATATATCACCAAAAACAATTTTCAGTTTTGTAAATTTGAAAAACGAACTCCTTGCCTTTCTAGGATGGCCCTACTTCATCTTAGAAAAATTGAACATATTGTACGCAATGTTCAATTTCCTAACATTTCTTTTCTCTCTACTGAAAGAAATCTACAATACCTGCGCAAAACAAACACAAATATATAAACAAGCAAGCGTAGCACGCATTCTTTTTGCAGGATTTTTTGGAATCTTCTCTACATCAATAAATAAAATACTTTTAGACAATCGAATAAAAGAATACAACACAAAACTATCAACATCACCGAACACAAATGACGATTCACAAAACAAAACGAATACAACGCCTACAGCACCACAATTAAAAAACCTAAACCATATCCATCCCTTATCATTAGTACCACAAAAATTCAGAAATATAGCTCTGAAAAACCTCATATCTTCAAGATCTAACTATCCACAAAGCCCAATTCAACACATCATAACCCAACAATCTAACATAGAAGATACACGAACAAATTATAGAAAAACCACATACCACTAATTTTCGTTCTCCAAATAACCATCTTTTTAGCCCACGATGGGCCGCCAAATTGGATCGATCCATCGCTCAATTTCTTACCCAGCCAATCTTCAAAGCAATCTCCTCATTATCTCATTTTTTGTTTTCCCCCCAACTCAATTGCCTCATGATAACACTTCATTCTGCATGGATTCAGACACTAATTCAAACGCCACTGTTTATAACTTTATTTCCCAATTTAATAACTCTGATCTTGAAGCCCCCGACAATTTATATAACTCCGAACCCAGCCCATCTACATTTTCCCAACCTCCCTTTCAACCTCTCCACTTACAAACAAAATTGAAACCCTCTTCCACACCTTCTTCTATTTCCAACGTTACACCCCAATATTCCCCCTTAATTAGTGACCTTTCCAACAACAACAGCTCTGTACATACGCAAATATCCCACGAGCTTGACAATTTCATCACACTTCAACAACAACTACAGCACCCTCAAACACTAACTATTCACCAACTCTCACAATCCATAATATCATCAAATCCATCATCCCCAACTCCCTCATCAACACCAGCCTCCAGTACGAACCGAGCCCAACGAAACTTAAAAAGAAAAATTCCCCAACACTCCATTTCCCTCTAACTCAGGACCATCCACAACATTTGTTAATCATCCACTTCACACTAACACAAAAGAATTTCTCCAAATATGTTTACCTTTTTTCCCCAGTACACATACTTTCATTCAGATCTCAATGACGAAAACCCAAATTTTGTATATGAGCACCTATTATACCCTACACTCTCATAACATCATACTATCACTTTACTAATCCACGATCACTACCATTAAATAACATACCCTCATGGACAACGAACAATGCAGTTCTCAACTCTACCTTTTAACAACAGCTTTAACTCCAAAACAATTCACACATATAGGATACAAACAATCACTCACCAAATTCACCGAACCAAAGCCAACGAATATTCTATCGACCACTACGATCATAACATCATAAGAGCTAACGAAGTTTTAACTTTCACTGATAACAACTCTAACAAGTTTTAACACGTTTCAAACTTTCCTTTAACCCGGTTGGAAAAGAATTATATAATATTCCAAACTAACCAACGTAAGCTTACTAAACACTGAATGACGACAAATAGCACTGAATGACGACAAATATGCTGACCCGCAACGAACAGAAAAATTTTTCATTAGAAAACCATATGTTTTCACCCTCAACACCTTTGATAAAAAATACGATCACGTCCTTTCAACATCACTTCGTGATATCCAAGCTTATGATTCATATTTTAATAAATTTAACCATTTTTCACTAACCTTTCATTTCCTCACACCCAAAGAACGTGATTTGCACTGTTCACACGACGTCATGTTACGAACTAAACAAACACACACTTACTTTTACTATAAGTTCATCCAACTTCATTACACTCACAAAACCCCAGCAAAACAAATTTACTATGGATATCAATACCTTAACTCTAAATACACCTCACCATTCTTTCTTAATTTCACTTATTGTATTAACGATACTAACCTACAAGGCATCCTCCGAAGCTATGATCCCATCACCCAGATGTATATATTCTGTCCCTTAAGTAAAATTTTCAACGTAGACGAATCCCGCCCACTAATAGTCCCACACGAACTCCTACAGCCCGTCGAAATCCAGATCATAGAACTCATCCATAACACACGATATAATGATAAACTTTATAACCTCATTCAAAATACACCTTATGAACTCTCACCTAGCACTGACGAGCACAACATCATTAAAGCACCCGAATTGTTTTGTCCACTTCTTCAGACTAAATATATCCTCCTTTTCTTGGCTAAATAAAGGTTTCCTTTTTTCTATAGTTTTCACAAGCACGATCATCAATCACCTACAAAAAAGAAATATGAAATGAAAAACAAAAACTTTTTTCCAGAATCAAAAATTTGTATTAACCAGTTCAATGAATGAAGCAGTAAAATTTTTCCGTACAAAACAATACTTTGATATATAAATTTTTTCCCCCATGCAAAAAATACTCTTTTAATTGAAATTAAATTGATAATTTCAACCCCCAAATCGAGCAGTAAAATTTATAATTTCGAAGTAGTAAATTTAAAAAAATTGTCTATAAAATTCAAAGCAGTACTAACCTTTTTAAAAACGCTTCCTTATGGTTTTAAATATTCACTCGCCCACAATTCTATCCACAATCGCACAGCTCGCCCACGAAGAATTGTTTAAAATAATGAATTTGAGTTTTAACTCTAACTTATAACAAGTCTAACAAGTTTTAAAACGTTTCAAACTTTCCTTTAACCCGGTTGGAAAGGAATTATATAATAATTCAAACTAACCAACGTAAGCTTACTAAACACCGCAAACCACAACCTAACAGCATGACTAAGAAAAGAAAACCCACGGTACTCAAACTGGATTAACAACAGCTTAGAACTGGATAAGTTTTTTTTCTGAAGACTATTTTCAAGTCTGAACACAAAAGAATAAAACACCAAAAAGTCGAAAGACAAACCCAAGAGAAACAATTTGATTTTTGAGAAAAGGACACAACCAAGAAAAAAAAGGAAAAAACCAGTAATAAAAAGGCATGAAAGTTTGAACTCAAACAGGACCCTCCAAAAAAGAGAGCAAAATTTATACCCTCACTCCTGGCCTAACCCACCAGAAACGGATGTCCTGAGCATGATCCATAGCCGGCCTCACCCACCGTGCTACATCCACGCTTTGTGACAACACCCTCTATTTTTGACGGGAGTTACTCAAGTGTGAGTAGTTCTAAAAAAAACCGTACTAAACAATAACGCTTTTGCGATAAAAACTAATACAATATCATAACTAAAAACAAAATTAACAAAAATCTGTATATGTAAATAATACCATGCAGTATATAGATAACATACAACCCAAAGATGAGCAGCAAGGAACCTGACAATCCAATCACACTCCAACTACGGAATGGCAAAACATACCTGACATGCTGCCAACAGTCACTACACTCAAAGAATTTAAAGTACGACTTGGCATCGCAGCAAAGGAAACCCAATGCAACCGAACAATGGCCATCTCGATGTTTAAGTTTACGCACAGATCCAAGTCACCAGACACTACATCAAAAGTCGAACTACATGCCATTCCCGAACGAGATTGAAAATAGCAATGTTCCTATCAACCAGATCAACACTCATCACAACCGATCAGAAATCATGATACGATCTCCCGAAACGATCGTGATAACAACTCTTCTTCCAAACCAGAAAAAAGAATATGCTCGCAACCTCTACAGAAAAACACCATCATTCATCCTCCACTACAAAAAAACACTGAAGAACTAAAAATCTCTAAACCCCGGTTGGGTGGAACCAGATCTAAACTAGTATTTATCATTGGCTAATATTATGATATTGTATCCCTATAAAACATTGAGTACTAACCAATCATACTCCATAAAACTAACAACCCACTTATTTGTAAGTGTTGAAACAACTTGTAGTTTCAACACAGAACAATTTGAATTAAACTTAGAAAACAGTTGTTCTCTTTCTGGAACTAACTAGCATAAACCGGTGTACACTAGATCTATTGAGACTAGGATATATAAGAGAAAGATTAAGATCGCTATTAGACTAAGAAGTTGCACGAATATATCCTCCCAAAAATAAGGTAGCGTGACGAGCAGACGGTGTACCTTATCTGAAATTACTCGATGAGTATAGTACTTCATACATAACTCAGTATTTTGTTTTTGGTCGTAATTGTTGTTGCTTACCCTAAATTAACTATAATTTTTTCTTTCCAAAATCCCTCTTAGCCCCACGCCCCCCCCCCCCACAAAAAAAAACATAAACAGTGGAAAAGTTCTGTGCTATTTGATTAGCAACCAGCTGTTCTTGCTTAGCCCCCCCCCCCCCCCCCCAAAAAAAAAATCTTATATGTTCGAAAAATTCTGTGTTATTTGGATAGCAACCAGTTTTTTTGTTTGATTCGTAATCCGTAGTCGAATTATGCAATATGAAAGAATGAAACTATGTGATTAAATCTCATATGAAGTCCTAAACATTACTGGAAAGAAGACTGCATGAAACGAAGAGTGCGAGCATATTACCTTGAAAGATTCCATCTCTTGTTGAGTCTGTAGAGTGGTGTGTTGATTGTGTTTCTGCAGCTGACTGATTTGGTCTTCCAGCTCCCTTACTTTCTGCTCCAACTCCATCTTCATCACCTCCATCTCATCCAACTTGACCTTAGCACACATGCCCTCATTATAAACAGTTCAACAGTTCAGTTTCGAAGAAAAAAGCCCAAAAAAAATAGAAATTTTTTGGGAACAGTAAAGGGAGTTTTAGAATCCGAGGGAGAGCGTTTCTTTAAATGTGTTTGCAGGCTAGTTACTTCTATCTTTTTAGCAGTCACGAAAACCTACAGAGTTCCTCTTCTGCTTAAATATTCAATTAATTTCTTAATTAAACTTGAGTAAAATAATTTTTAAGCAATCTTTTGCAAAGTCCCCCCCCCCCCCCCCCCGAAAAATTAATTTGCACAAAAACTTACACACGCGAACGTTCTTCACAATCAAAAGAAATGGCTAGTTTACCGGAACTAGTATCTTTTATTTAAAACATGGACTGGGTTTATTGGACACAGGGTTTTACTTAACGTGTCTGTGCAAAACAGTCCAAGTCAAAACAATCCGGAACGGTATGAAAATGAACGAAAAAAAAACAGTCCGAAAAACAGTCCCAAATAATAATTGTTTTAACAAGCCGATAGGCCGAGAATTGTAATTTGTTCAACAAACATAAAGAACCAAACTGTGACCGCCCAGTGTTGAGCTGGAGATTAGCATATTTTTGGGTCGGAAACTATTTGTCTCTTAGGTTCGATTCAGTTTTTCTTTCTTCACTAAACTTTATCTTTACCTTCTGACAGCAGAGCTCTTCTTTGAACTGCAGTTCCATGTCTCTCTTCACAATTGAGTGCTCCTCCTCCATCCTCGTCCTCTCCTTCTCTTGACTCACCCTCGCCTCACTCGCCTCCTGGACCAGCTGACTCTTCAGGGTAGACAGAGACCCCCTCTCCTCGTCCAGCTCTCGCACTCGCTTCTCCATCTGATAAACAATCGAAACTAACCATCTAAGAGAAAAACAAAAAGAGCGAAAAAAAGCCGAAGCTCAGTTATGGCCATTCAACCTTCCCCTCTGCAATCACACTTATTTTAATATTAGTTTTAAAAAACGCTGTAAATTTCGCGCCATATAACATATGACATACTATGGCATTACAAAGGCGATTTAACAAAGGAAACATACTCAGCCAACAGCACCAAAACTGTTCAAACCACCTCCCAAATAGACCAAGTTAAAATCCTCCCCCTGTAGGTTCTCTTGATGGGGAAAAGGTTCAAATTTAGTAAAATGGTCTTTCCTTGGCGTCTTCAGGATCGGACATGCACCAAAACCACATCTAATTCAAAACTGCAGCCCTTTTTTAAGAAAAAATTACCGCTGTTAACCAAACATTAAAAACAAAAGTAGGATATTATATATTTTGAACACAAATTATCTAGGATCAAGTTCTGCTCCTAAAATTACCAGTTTCGCAGTCTAAAACAAACAAACTAGAAATTGAATAGATATTTTAATGAAACAGATTTGTATTACCTTTTCTATTAATGATAAAGCTCAGTGCTAAGTCCGAAGAAACTTTTTGCAAGTGGGAAACAGCTTGCATAAAATCAAGTCATACTTTGATTCGAGAATCGGACAGTCGAAGATTTAAAAACAAAAACAATTGATTCGACAAAAAAACTTCACCTTAACTCTCAAAGTAAAAATGACTATCTCAAAAGTGTCTCAACTTACCAGTAAAAACCTTAAAACACACCTTTGAAAAATTTTATAGGTAATAAGCTCATCGAACACTTGAAAATTTTTGTGTGATCATTTTTCTTCAGAAAAAAATCGGGTTTTTGAATAAATCACTTTTGGCGTGGTTTTATGAATATCCTTCGACAAATTTTCTCGTCAACTTTAGCTGGGGCAGTGCAACAGTGACGAAAAAAATAGCTCAACATTGCCGAAAATAAAAACTTTGTTCAACAGTCCCGAAAATTTGAGCAAATTTCAACATATTAAGTGCGGCAATCAAAAACTAAACGGCGATCGCTTACAATCTTAAGTAACACTTTAGGTTTTTGAGCAAGAACATTTGCAACTTAGACGTTTTAGCGCCAAAATATATGTTTCGTTTTTAGTTGCAGACATGTTGGCGCCGAAATTGGATTGATTTTCTTTTTTGATTAGCGTCAGTAATTTCCCGCCCTTCAGAAAACGCGCTTAAATTATTCTGAAATTTTCCCCTCTTTTTCGGCACTGTTGCACTTCGGCACTGTTGTACGCCCCCCCCCCCCCCCTTTGAGCTTAATTTTAAAAGAGTGTTTCTCCTGTGATCATTTTTTTAAGGTTATGGTGGTTTGAAAATTGCCAAGTTGTTTAGTTTGGGACATTTAACGCGCAATATATTTCCGCAAATTAATCAGTCTCAAAAATCTTTTTCAACCGACTTGAGCTGTTTGAACTCATAAACTGATGTTGGACGCTGAAGGCATCACTTCGTTCTGATTTAAATAGCGTGAGGTGGAAGATTTTCAAAAGTTTTAATTTTGAACGTAATTTAATTGTTTTCGAGGTTGCATCAACTTCTTAATTTTTCAAACAAGTTTTATGAAAACTATTACGTCACTTTTAATGGGTAGTCAGAAAATTTAGGATTTTGCACTTATACGAGCAGTTTTGTTCGTTTTTCGAAGAAGGTCACAAAACAAATAAGCTTGGGCTTAAACTTTTAATCAGTCGTTTTCAACTTTTTATTAGCTGGTTCGGAGGAAACTCTCTCAAGGCATCCAAAAAATTTTGATGACTTGAGAGCATATTGAAGAATATATTAAACTGAGATGAAACTATTGAATTTGTGATCATTTTCTTTGAAGTTATGTGAAGTTATGCGGCGACTCAATCAGGCTCACACATCGTCATTGAATTGACGCAAAATATTTGTCCTTAATGATACTCCGGTATAGAAAAACTATCATTTTGCACTATCTAAAGGGTGTGAAAATGTTTTTTTTTTGAAAATTTAAGCTGACATTTTTTTCATTGTGAAAACTTCGTCCAATTTTGTAAAGGAAATATGTTTTCCTCGATTTATGTGGCAGTCGGAACATTTAAGGTAAGAGAGACTGAAATGAGCAGTCAAGCTAAGTTTTTTAAGATTAGAAGTGCCAACATTTGTAAGAGCGCTAAATTCTCAATTTAATCATCATAATTTCTTTTCAAATAAGTATGTTATAATCAACGATCAATTTATGTAAAAATTGATGAGGCCTTAATTTAAGAGAGCATCAAAAGATTTTTGGATTTGTCAAGCGACGTCTCCTCGGGACAAATCTTCAACTTAATAGTCCTTTTTCACATTTAGATCTTCTTTTGATTTTTAGAAAAAGTATTGTAAAGGAGCCACGTTCTTTGAGGAAGAAATAAACTTTTTTCATGAAGTTTTGAAGCATTTACTGAAAATTTGACAAAGTATAAAACTGACATTCTTCGAAGAAAAAGAACTCACTTCACCAGAAAAAATAGCCGATTGATCATTACCTTGAATAACGTTATCTCGGAAATCGTGTAGAAACTAATTCGACTTTTTGATATCTAAATCTATCTTTTAAAGTGAAGAATCAAGACGACACAGGCAAATAAACAAAACGCCAAACTCTAGTAACCGACTGTATTTTGTTTTAATTTTTTCCTAAATTTCTGTATTGCAAATTTTGTTTCAGCTAGTTTCTTTTATAATATCATTTATTTAACTCAATTCGGGTGAGAAACGAAGTAGAAACAGTGGTATTATGTTCAACACGAATAATTCTGAAAAATTGCTTTTTTTATTCCATGCAGATGTGTTAGTTTAACAGAACATATTATGTTTTTTTTTAAAAAAATTTTGATCAGACTTGTCTATTGAGTGAAAAGTTTTCAGTATACTATTTTGCGACTATTTAAATTTTTTGAATTCCGTTTGAGAAGTTCGGTCCTCCTATTTTAAGACGCCAAGCTTGATTCATGATAGAAACTAAGACTAATCAAAGTTTATATTAAGGTACCTGGTTTTAAAAACACACATTTGGAACTCATACTTTCAGTTTTTTTTAACCTCAGCTATATGTGTATTTAGGTTCAGTTTTTGATATAAAGGAATGCCTAGGTTTTTAATTGTTATATGTTGGCAAACATTATGATTTTAGTAGCTTCACAAATGTTCGGAAGATCGTTTATTTAAATGAAAAACAAAAGTGGTCCCAGAACAAAGCACTGGGGCACTCCGTTTTCAAACTTCTTGAATGCTCAAGCCTTCTGGTTAACACTGACACCTTTAGTTTTGTTTGTTGAAACTAATTTTAGTAGCTCAAATTATACTGAAAACACGTTTGTTCAGTAGGATTTTGTAATCTACTGTATCGAATGCTTTTCATAGATCTGTAAACGAGCAACGTGAAATTTTTTTTTCCATTCAATTTGAATTGTTTTGGGGACAGCTCTGAATAAGAACCGAACTTTTCGGTCGGAGAGCCAGTAAATTATCACAAATCCACCGAATCGTGCATCAGTATTTCAAAAAACTGAACTTAATTCATCAACTTTTGACTGACTGATCAATTAACTCGTGAACCCTCGAGTTAGTTTCGAAATTCAGTTTTTGTTCGGCAGATGACTTTCTATTGTGCTATGAGCTGTTGTCTTGAGTTATAAGTCAATTTACAAGTCTCGATTGATAAATCGGTTAAGTTCTGGACAAGATTTTATCGAATTTTTCCATCTCGACTCAAGTTTTTTACATGAGAAAAAGCATATGATCATAAAATCAGAATATAAACAATCTTATATCAGCGATACAATATTGCGTAGACATACCAAAAATTGCGTGTAACACCACCTTATTCTATAAGTTCTTCCCAATCCACGATAGCCACCTGAACAAAAAGTGAGTGTGTTGACATTGTTGATATTTACCGTGGCCAGTTTCTGTTCGAGTGCCTCCTTCTCGATCTTGAGGTCCTGCTCCTGATGTCTGAGTCTCTGCAACTCCACCTCCCGCTCCTCCTCCTTCCGGGCCCAACTCTCTTTCTCTCCTCTCAATTTCATCACCTTCAAATGAATCATTAAAGAAAATATAACTTTCGATCAACGTACGATTATCTTCGTGAGTGAGAATTTACAAAGAATGATGGAAATTTAGTTGGAAAACGTTTCTAATTATAAATAACGATGTATTTGTGGATCATATCAACAATACTAGTAAATACTCGAAAATACTAGATTTTAATATAGGTTGAAATGATGCTATTTTGTATTTTTTTTTCGTTAAGTATTCCCCCCATGGTACTTAGCAAAGAATTTCCACCCCAGTTTAGGTCAAATTCCAATGATTCTCAACCTACTGTTTTCGTTATTTTCGATTGGTCCAGTCATCCGAAAGCAGCAAAAAGAGTACATCGAAATTTTTAAATTAAAAAAAAAAACTCAAGCTAAACTTAAGGTTAGACCGAAAAAAATATCCTGGAAAGTCATTAAAACGAGAATGATTCTTCTTCAAAACGTAGATTTCACTTCCTTTTTAGACGTATTAAGACAAAAACAAATTCCATCGTTTAAAATTCATGCGACGAAAATAATGTAACTTTAGGTATCGCAACAGCTATTTAATGCTACAGACCTCAGTTAGTTAATTTTCCTTATTAAAATAGTAGTATTGTATCGTGTCCCGGATCCTAAGGGGGGGTCCTTCCTAAGGGGGGGGGTCCTCACGTAAAGCAAAATCCTAGGAAAGGGGTCCTTAATTTTTTGGAGGACCCCTATCCTAGGATTTTGTAAATGATCGCAAGTTCCCACCCCTAAAGTAAAAGACCCCCTCCTTAGGATCTTGTTAAGCTGAGCTCAACAACCGGGACGCGATAGAATAATTCCTTCTAATTCCTTTGAAAGCGGTCCCTTTTCCCGCGATAATTAAAATTAATCGTCCTAATTCCTGAACTTTTCTTTTTTCGTCCTAGTTTCATGTGGATATCATTTCCTGGCTTTCTTTCTTTTCGTCAAAGATTTGTCATGCTTTTAAAGTTTGTTATTGAAAACAAGCCTAAGGATTTCACACATTGGTTTGAATTAACACTTGGTTTGCGTCTACTAGTTTATTTGCCTGAAGCTATTTATGTTAAAACAGTGATTGAGCTCAATACGAGTATTTTATTAGTTGTAAATTGGTAAAAACCAAAACATATACAAGTCGAAGTATAAAAAGGACGAACAGTAAAAATCATCTGAAAATATATGTTTCAGAGTTTAATGTTTATTGTTTTGGTTTTCTTTGAGCTGTTTTTTAGATGGTCGTTCTTCTGAAGCTTCAGATAAAATAAATGGGTTTTTTATAGGGGGACGTTGACGGACTCGGCTACTAGAAGCTTCTTCTTCTTCTTGCAGCTCAGCTTCTGAGTAGGGCCGCTGTAAAAGTCCCCAATCTGGAAGTGTAAAATCGGGAGAACTGTTATCAGTTTCATTGTATGAGTTGGCCCACTCGGTGTCCATGTAAATGTCTTCTAGAAAAGCATTTTCTTCAGCGGCTTTATGGCCAAAGGTTACTGTCGAAATTCCGTCGAAAAGTAGAAAACGTTTTGAGTCGATTGGTGATAATGCAAGTTTGTTTTGTTTCACTGTCATATTGGTGTGACCTTTCGAAACTATATTATAGTTGTACACTCTCATTGTTTTTCCAGTGAATAATGTGTCCCTGAAGGTTTGGTGGACCAATTCTCTCTGTGCACTCCGTTTAATTCCTTTGGCACTCAATTTTTGAGTGCCTTCTAAACAGAAGCAAAATTATTATTCTTTTCTACAACGTAGGGGATAGCTTCATTTCACTTCAGCCACTCAATTTATACCGAACAAAATTTGATTCATTTTACCAAAAAAGAGCAGAAGACTCCAAATTATGATTAAAAAAGTGGAAAAAAGAGGGAATATGTTGTCAGATAAATCAACGTTTAGGCAACATTGTATAATGTTGCCTAAATCAGCTAAATGCCCATAGTTTAATGCAACAAATTAAGGGGTGTAGGTAGGTTGGTGGTGGTAATTTTGTTCTGTAAAAGGTAGGAATGGGGGGTGGAAGGGTGGCTTAAAATTTATTTACCATTAAGGACGACCGAATATAGTTTCGGTTTTAGGGCGACGAATTCTCTGATCGGCTTCCCACCAGTGTCGTCTTTGAACTTCAGCACAACTTTATTGTTGGTATCCTTGAACAAGAAATGGTCCTTATCGTAATTTGAAAAGTCGAAATCAGTTTTTATTTTCTCCAAGTCTCGGTAAACGTCATCAGTTTTAATAGCGTAAATAAAACTATCCGTGTCGGAGTAAAGGAGTTCCAAGTTTAGATTTGGTTTCATTTTTTGATAATGAAACTGAAACATGAATCGCTTGGCGAGGTCTAGGATGGTCGCACCAACTATCATAGGTTTATCCCACAATATTTTTGTTACTGAAAAGCTAATTGTGGCTAATTGATCGTCAATAGTTTGAAAGCTTTTCATTATGCTCAGAGCTGTTTTTTGTAAAAGTTCTCTCTCATTCCTTACAATCTCCAGCTTCTTTCTTCCTAACTTAGACTCCATTGTCTTACCGAAAGCTGAATTAACAATTAGCTTGTAGAAGTTCTCCTGGAATTTATTTACCGCGGCTTTTCGTAGGCGGGTGTTGAGGTCGACAAAGGGTGCCATCCAGTGACTTTGGCGGAACTGAAGAACTTTTCCGAGGTGAGTTATTTTCATTCCCAGCTCATGGTACAATTTTAGGGTAAGGTAGTGCAAAACATAACCTTCTTTAGGATGCAAGGTCTGTAGAAGCTTTGACACTTTTGGCAGTGTGGTGATTCCCAATTTTCCCAACATGTCGACTTGCTCGTTGCTCATTGCACCGATGTCCACTACTTCACGAGAGGGGGCAAGGGGGTAATCAGCAAAGAAGTCGTGAAGCTCTTCGGGTATGGTTAAATTGACTTCAACTATATAACCCCACTCTGAGGTTTCGCTGGTGAGCAGTATGTCTGCCAGACTTTTTTCAACTATTGAAAAATCGTTTAAGGGCAAAGGGCAGTGTTTCATTATCCCCCCGTACAAATTGTTTGCATCAATATTGAGGGTGTAGCTTGATGGTTCTGAGGGCGAAAAATCGTCGAGGTATTTATTGTTTGCTTTGTAAAATCGGCGCGCGTAAACCGACGACATGCCTCCTCGTATCATTCGCTGCACAAGTTCTAGATGTTCACGGTCCGTTAAGAGTTTCAGTTCGGGCTTACAAACTTTTAGAAAGGCGTCCCCGGAAAGGTTACTTGCCGTGAAGTAACAGGCGCAATCCAGCCCGTATGTTTGATAGCAAACTTCCCGAAAAGCTTCGAAAACGGAAGCAAGCAATAGCACATCTGTAGTCAAGTACAAGTCGTGGTAATCACCAAGTGAGCCACACTTCAGTTCGGTGAAAAGTTTAAGGGCATGATTGTACTCGCTTCTTGAAACACTCACATCCCCTCCTGTTAGACTATTTTTCCACATTGCTCGTGGGGGAAGGCGAGTTTCGCGGAATTTTTCGAATGAGTTGAAGTATGAGTAGGGGTAATGCCCTTTCTGTTTCAACAGACTGACTTTTTCAGCTGAGTGGCCGAGTTTTTCAAAATAGTTCTCCAGCAGAAAAAATTTTTCGTTGGGCAAATTATCGACAAGTTTTGCTAACGATGCTAGCATGAACCTATACGAGTCGATGAATCTCAAATTTTTGTAGAGTTTTTTGATTTTTCCGTTTTTGTCCGTGTACGTTTTTATGTAGACTGAGATTGTCAAGGATATATATTTTTCTTCAGATGCGGGTATTACGGAAAAAGTGTTTTCCGAATCGCTTTTTGCCAGCGCTTTGATTATAAAGTGTAAATCATAATTTGACAAATTATGAGCTACCACTGGAATGTAATTTGTTGTTTTTCTATTAACGTTACACTCATTGTGTGCCCAACCCAGGAACTTGTTGGTGTAATGGCAATGATCAAGTACCACTTGATCCTTGTCGGAAAAATCATTCTCGCATATCCAACAAATTGTAGCATCTTCCCGTTCCTGGTCTGTTATACCAGTGAAAGTGTAATATTTCCTTTTTTCTACGTAAATTTGTCTCGCTAACGATTCAAGGGAGCTAATTAGCTCTTCCATCACATTCGGTCCTCTTTTAAGCTCAAATTTTAACAGGTCTTTTTTCCCAAATTCGATTACTGCTAACGCGTAGCCGCACGGTTGATGGATTTCAATTGTTTGCGTGCTAGATTTTCGCGGATCAGGTTGCGGTCCGTATACTGGTAAGAGCAGTGACTCCAAATCAAAGTAGATTACTCTGGGTACGTACCAACGAGCTGTTAAGTTTTTGAACTTGTGGTCATCTTTTCCCGGCTTGGGCATTGTTATGACGACATCTTCGTCTTGGTAGCACAGTTTTTGATGTCTTCTCAGAGTTTCGGATGAAGCGCATGTGTGGAAACATTTGCGACAAATCTCAGATTGAAATCGGTGCACTTTGTGCCGCACGTACTCGAACAGTTTCTGGAGATCACTTATCAACACATAGTGATATTTTGATCCATCTGTCAGCAGCAACAAGTCCACAATCAGGCTAGTAGTGAATCTGCTCGATACTCTTATGGGCAACAATTTGCCATCGTTGTACCTGAACAGAAAAATAATTTTTTAAACCTAGGTTTGGAATGAAATAAAAAGGGTGTTTGAATAGGTGAAGAACATTATTGAAGGAATTTTAAAATTTTTAGAAGGCAATTAGAATTTGCTTACCGGAAGACGTTGATTTGACAATTGTTCAACTTTTCAAATCTGTCCATATCCATCAGACCCATTGGCATTTCGTATTCCCCATTGATTTTCACAATTCCTTCTTTGTCGAGATTGTAGGTTGAGACTTTGTTTTTCTCCAGCCACCGTCTAGATGTGGGGTAGAGGGCCGGCTCATTCACATTGTGATATGCGGCAACAAAGCAGTAGAGAAAGCAACGGTCATCATCTTTAGTGTTGATATTTGTGAGCAGAGTAGATGCTGCGCTG